TGTGGCTTGGCAGCCCGGCAACTAAGTGGTATGAACAAAGGTATATGTGCTACCACTTGCTGTGGAAATGAGGCACTTTGGACCATAACCGGATGTTTCCAGCAGCCCCCAACGAAACAAAATCACAAGCTTGGAACTGTTCCAACTGCAAGGGGCAAAATATATAGGACGATTACTCATATTCATCGAACTTCCAACGGGAATTCAGGAACGCCCAATTAAGATAACTTCAGTGGAACCTTTTATCCTAGGTAAGCTTTTGTTCCTAGGCCAGCTCGTTATCATTTGTACCAGCAATCGGCCGGGAATTGAAATGAAACCCACTGGCGAGCGGTTGATGATGATCAATACTGCAGTGTTAGCGACCTCCTTGGTCAATCTGGGGGTGCTGCATGTTAGGAAGGAACGCACAAACGCACACTCACACACACACATACATTTGTTTTGCGGAAAGAATGTGAAATCCGGGCTCAAGATGGGCTTCTGTTAAAATTGGGACATGGACTCCAAAAATGGCTGTGTAGCCTGTTGGTGTCCCTGTCAAAAATCCAACCAACAGGGGGTTCCAGCCCCAAAAAGGGGTCTTCAGACCGATGCCGAGCACCGGGCCATGTACACGGAAAGATTCTCGAACACGTAGCCGCCTTGCCTCAGCTCGTTTCAGGTACGGTCTGGACCCTTCTTTGCGGATTGGATGAGCTTTGAGTGAACATCTGGGTCTGGGTTTCGAACCTGAACCGCCTAGTAGTCCCGCGCTCTTACAAAACAATAGGGTTTGCGCTGGATTGCAATCACGCCCGTGGTACTCTTGGTACTGTAGACTTTACTTTAAGAAAAAAGACTCTCTGGCATCGCAGAAGTGGGACAAATCCCGCTTGTTCGCACAACCCTGAATAAGTCCCCCTGTACCCCCAGACTAGTCTGAGAATCTTGAGCGAACCTCATGCGACCCGAAGAAACAAAAACTCTAGAGTCACCCAGCCCCCCCCCCCTCCCCAAGCTGTGAGCGTGTTTTATCGAACCTACCAACTCTGATTCCTTGCTGATCTCCCAAAAGTTGATGTATTCCACATACCCATGTTTGACTCAAATTGATGGAGCCCCACAATTGGTGGCTGTCCAGGGACATTGAGCACACAAACATCCAATTTGCAAGCCACAGCTGGTTGATTGCTTGGGTCCTTGTCCGGCAGTTGCTTCTCCAGAGACAGATTTAATGATAAATCTGAGCAGGCCCTTTGAAGGTTAGTTCTAAAGGAAATCAACGGCAGCTCGCCATAGGCAGCTATGGCAGCTCACTCTCGCGGAAACACCAAAACAATACCACGCCTGGAGATCTGGCCTGCTAGAACACATACATTCCATAGCTTCACTCGATTTAACTTCTAATAACCTGTCACTTCTAACCCCGGTCACATGCTTATGTACAGTGTCATGAGTGAGCTCGTTTTCCCCCCGGGTCGGTGAGCTCACCAGTAGAGGAGTCAACCCAAGCGTCGCCAGGTGCATCACCCGCGAGTCGTTCAGGAAGCGCTTGTACGAGGGCTTCCAAGCAGGCTCCTGGCCCAGGCACTGGACCTAATTTGCGCAATCGGAGGGCTGACTAAGGCAAGGCTCTAACGCGAGTCAAGAAAAGCGGGCACCAGCCCAACACAGGGCCCAACATGAAAATCACCTCATAGATGTCAAACGAGCATGGGACTACCGGTCAAGCTATAGCATGGACCAACACCAAATCAGATTCCGTGAAAAGTTAAACGTTCGTCTGACACAACGAGATCCATGTGTTTCCTCAGAACTGCAACACACTGCTAGACTGACAACTCAATCAGGAGAAGTCAGAGAGCTCCAAGCCCGAAAATAATGACGTCCATCGCAGTCTTTGCAGGGTCCAAAAAGGGGTCCCTATTTGGACAACTCATGCAACCATAAGCTTCCTGAATGCCACCCTTGGCCATCCCACTTTTCTTGGAGGGCCGAAGGTCCAACGGGTTGCTTTTCAACAGCTGAAAGCTAAGGGCTCTTTGCTCAGGTTTCGGAGCAGCTCAATGGGCTCCGAACGGGTCGGGGATGCTCGGGGGTGCTCTGGGCTTCCGTTTGGGCGCTTCCACCGTTGCCCCGGAAAAGTTCAACACGACGCGTCCTTGCGGCGGTTCTTCTCCAAGCACACCACAATCGCATCCATGTCCACCTCCCAAAATGAGCAAGATAGCTCACCCCCCGCCTCCGTGACTTTCCGTGCCCTTTCTTTAGAGTTGCTTCGAACAAAATGGAGACCGAGGGAAACCAATGATCAGGCCCCTTAGTACCCTTTTTTCGGCTGATTTTAAGGGGAACCCACACAAAACATGGAGAACAAATTCGAGTTGGGCAACTGGGGCTGGCCAAAATCGACTGGATGTTGCAAAATTGCTTGAATGCTCTGTACCATTAGCAGCTGGTCCCCCTTTAAAATGGTCATTTGGAATCCACTGGGAAGGGAGCTTGTGCCGTTGCCAAATGGGTTGGACCCCTGTTGTCCAGCTGGTTTTCAAGGATCACCAATGGGAAACACACGAGCAAACACACAGACAGTCTGAAAAAGACGTAGAATCAAACCTCAAAACATGAAAAGACGAGACGACGAGGCCCTAAAGCAAAATGTGCAAAGCAATCCGCTCCCAAGTGATGCTTTTCCGCTCTGATTTCAGCGCACCTGGCTCATGGCGCTCACGACATCTTCGTCCACCTGGCAGCCTTTCCTCTCCAACTCCAGCAGCGCGAGGCGCACCTCCGACACCCGATGTCATCGGTGCCCATGCGACCCACAGACACAATTCCCCACATTTGGTTTGGTGATGCCTGCAGACAAGCGAAGTGTGCCTGGATCATGTGGAACCCGAAAACCATCATTTCTAGAGGCATCTCATTTTTGTAGACCTCCAGCTTTGGATTGCATGTCGATTTCGGGGGAGTAAGTCCAGGCTTTGTGTCCCGAGCACACGGGATATTGCAGGGGACCCGGCATTTTGGCCGAAGCTTGATGTCAAAGGTTCATACAATAATCCAAATATATCCGCCACAAATAAGGAGTCACGCCAAAAGCACATACAGAAATGTACTTAAGTTACCCCAGACGCAACTTATGACATGCCAGGCCTTCTCCACGTGCGAACTCGCCGGGATGGGCGCGGGTTGCGTGCCCAGTGCGCCAAATGCCGCATGCGAATCGCGAGCCTTGGGGGCGCGGTTCGCAAGCGCACGGAATGCACGCAGCGTCTTCAAGGGTACCCCTTGCAAAGGGGTGATTCCCTTTACCGATGGGTGACCTCTTTAGTGCTATAGCAAGTGGCAAAGGGCGCCCTAAGGCAGGGCACCCTTGTGACTGAGCGAGAAGATGAGACATTTGTGATTCAGCTTAGCTGCACCCGGATCTTGGCCCAACTCTGGGGGACTATGCTTCATACTTGGTCAACCATATAATGTTTAAAGAAGACCCAAGATGGGCATGGTTTTGGTCACAGTTTGGGGATAAGTTGCGTTTGAGGGACGTGGCTGCTGGCTTGCAAAAGGTCGGACCCAGCAATGCCAGAACCGGGGACCTCAAACAGAAGCAAACAGAAACAACTAAGAGAGCTTGTTAGTGGACTTAATACATGCTTTTGACTGGTCACAAGGGTATCGGTATCAATTGGGGGGGGGCGTGGCTGGAAAAAGACTCTTGCTTCCATCCCCTTGTCTTTGTTCCTGTAGGAGTTTGCTTTCAAACAAACCTTGACGTTATTCTGCACACAGTCACCCATCGCTGCCAAGCAGCAAAAGCCGCAGGCATGCCGCGCAGTGGCAACTGAGATCGATCCCGCAATTGCGTCTTGCGTGTTGAGTCATCTTTAGTCATCTCTGGTACATGGGCCTGCTGCCGAGGTAGCAAAGCGTCTCCTTGAATGGTCTGAAAAGTAAATCAAACACCTGGAAAGGTTCTTAATTCATAAGTCGATGTCCTAGGCAATTCGTATGCCCTCCGCGATCGTTCACGGTACGTGATGGACTAAAACTTTCCTATGTGAAGGTCTTGCCTTTCCTGTCCTTCTCTGATGGCTCAAGTCTGCTTGTTGACTGTCAACTTCAGATTTGGGAGGACCGTACCAGGCAAGTTTGGTGCGCAGGAAAGGGGCAAATTCTTCTCATTAATCCGAAGTTGGCATTGCGTTGAAGACGCTGCGTGATGGTGCCCGGCGCGGCTCCAGTGAAAGCTGCTCTCCAGCTGCCAAATTGCCAGTGCAGCCCAAGGATGGCGCGCGCGCGCATCGCAGTGACACGTTTCTTAATTTCTGAAATTGGCATGGCAAACTTGGCTGGGCCCCTAGTTTTCCAGCAATATTTGGATAGCACTCCCATGTCCTAGTCTGCTATGAGGGCCCAAATAAGAATCGGAATGGGGTTGAAGGGTACCATTCAACTACATGACCTTGTGAACATGGAAGAAGCATAGTTGCAATTACTGAGCCCGGAATATTGCATGGACATCCATGCAAGGGCCTCAAAACGCGTCACTAGCCACATGTTGCCAAAGCAACAACCAAGAAACAAATGCCAAGCACATGCTGCCCCCCTCCTCAAACGCGGAAATACATACCCCAACTCACAGTCGGCGTTGGGGCAAACGCCCCTTTCTGTGATACCTACCAAACTGGTTGATTCCTATCACTACCGCAAACTGTAATATATCATCCATCAGAAATAAGAGACTCTATTAATAAAGGAACCTTCAGTATGTGTGACGTCACAACCCCCTTAATGACGTCGCTAGACTTTGGCTAGACTTTACGGGTAAGTAGGACCTTACATCCCAAACCTCCAATGGCCATGGTGGCCGACCTTAAAAAGGCCACGACAAAAGAAGGAAACACACCTTCAACAAAACAGAAACCCTCTGAAGAGAAGCAAAAATTACGGCACGCGCTGCTGGAGGTCTGACACATGTCAAGCTCGTTGCTCTCCCGCGATGGCTTTGGCCAAGCCTATGAACATCACCTTGCCAGTGAGCTGCTCGTTGTCCCCAATCTGGACCTCACGCGATGAACTTGAGCAGCGCCCATTGCTGCAAAAATGGTTAAGTTATAACGATCATTTTAGGCCATGATGTAACTCTCTCTCCCTCTCTCTCTTTTGCTTCCTCTCTCTCTCTCTCGGCGCACAGAGTCGATGATGACGCAGCGGTGTGCAATTAATCAGCGAAATCAGGATCCCTCTCCGCTGTCAACGAGAGATTCTGATACGCAGAAAGGAGGGCAGCAGTTGCTTTCTGGCTGGCCGGCCATGGCAAATGCCTCATCGAAGATGCGGGCAAAGCCCATACACAAGGCGCTAGGATACGCACGTTGGTGAATGAGGAGCCTGTGCACACCGGGCAGGCCTCGCAACCACTGCAGCACCCGAAGCTTCCAAATGGCACTGTGAGCAGTGTGAGGCTCAGCTGGGTGCTCAAGAATGATGGTTCCAGCCCGAAGGATCACATCAAGGATGAGCAAGAGTATATGTTGGAGCAGTCTGCTACCAAGTTCGAGCTGCCTTCCTTCCGTTGGGCGAAGATGCGGCAGCCCCCGCAACAACTGGGCACTTCGCAGTGGCCGCGGGGATCGGTTCGAGATGATGCCTTCCCGAACCTTGGATCATGCTTCACAAGGCGGGCCGGCCTGAAGACCTAGGAAAAGCCGGAGGCAATGTGGCCACGAAGGCGTCCAACAAGCTCTGGGCATCCAAGATCACATAGGGTCTGGCTATGAATGACATCGATGGGTATTATTTCATATGGCCTGGTCCGTGTACCCTCATGGGGTCGATCCAACTTGCTGTGATGCTGTACGACATGTGAAACAGCACAAGTCGCATACCATGACATCTTTAACAATGAAACAAACATGACAAATGGCAAACAATACTGAGCCCACTAAGCATCATCAAGCACAGATCGCTGATCATATTACTTTCTTCTATTGTATGCCCAAATGCAGATCATCTTCTGAGAAGCTCTGATTCGTTTTGGCTGGCCTTCGCCGCATTCAAACTACCTCCGCGAATAGCGGCTAAGGATCTGGCCCAGTCGCCCAGGTTGAGCGCCACATCTGCGGCTTTGAGCGTGGCCCTGCGCCATGAGAGTCATCCAAACCTATGCCCAAAAAGGGGGAAATCTCTTACGGTGGCAAGGCTGGGGTCACTTCTTGGATAACCCAAAGTAAATTGTCCGTGGCTTCTGCTTTATTCACAAATTGCCCTCAAAACGGAGCAACGACTCCTGAAATATCTTCCTCCGATTGGCGCACCCCTTGTGTGCAATTGGAGGTGAGGATTCTGGCTGTTCCTACTTCCTCTCGCAGTTAGGAAAGATGAAATGATCCATGTTAGGGAATACTTCTGATCAGCAGCCCAGAACAAGGCAAGCCTTTTTGGGGTTCAACGTGCTCTGTGGCAAACCCACAAAGCCACAAAGCAAAGGGTGCCACTGAACCGCTGGGGGATGGTTCTCCTTTTGGTCGTGCCCAGGGTGACGCTGGTCAGACCACAGCCAACGCCATCTGCCAGCGCCTGCCCTTGGGAATGCTGCGCTTTCGATCGCCTAAGAGGAATCAGCTTCGTCAGAACCAATACATCAAGGGTTCCATGCTGCATCGCTTTTGAGGGTCCCCTATTGTAGGAAACATTGTTATAAATTGTGCAAACACCACTGCAAAGGGTAATGAACCTGATGGCACACAAATCGGCTTGGCTTGATTCTCAAAACCTGACCTGCCACACAAGGTTGACTATAGTGCTTGGGGCTGTCAAGACCCTAGAATTCTTGCACGGGGGCCGGCAAAGCTTGGATAAAGGGACTGGTGGAGGGGTGAAGATTTGCCCAAGAACCTCAGAGTTACGACTGAACGTTGCATGCGCGTTGTGTTGTTTCTTCCTGAGTGCTCTTTTTGTACTTGTTTAGAACTCTTTGAAGATCCCGAGGGATCCACAAAGCAGCATGCAAACCGAAGCTCCTGGAAACCGAAAAGGAGCTAAGTGGTTGATGTCAGTGGTCCACTCAATGGGTTGCCCCCCAAGGTAATTCGACTTAAACCCGAGGTTGGTGGGTTCCCCAACAGGGGAACCCACCAAAAGAATCGAATCATGCGAAGGCGCGCGCGAGCTCCGTTGTATTATGCTCTTTGTTCCGTAGCAAGCGGCATTCTGGGCAGCTTAGGTAAAGCACCTTTGGGACCTTTGTGGAGCAACTGATGTTCATCTTGCAAAGGGAACAAGCTAGCCTTGTCAATATCCCTGGGTGGGGATCCTTTGCAGGCCAGGCATGGTCAAACAAGCGTGATGTGTCTAATGTGTAAACTTTGGACTCTCCAAAGTTCTCCAGGATCGAACCAAGGGACATTCACGCAATGCACCCTGAGAATCAGGATTCAAGTGAGGTCCTGTTCCAAAATTCACTGCTTTCTGCTTCACATTGAGTCACCCGTAAAACTCAACTGTATCCTAACTCCACTCCACGATCAGGTTTGTACCGCAAACCCTGGGAAAAAAAGGGAGGCCCCTCTCCATCGTACCCACAAAAGAAGAAGGTATGGGGAAAGGTCCCTTTGTTGGTGGTACGTCCCTGCTTCCGTCCAGTGCTTGGGTGGAGCTGTACTGGACCTTCATGGATCACGATCCTGCTGATCCCCTGAGGCTCGCGCTCATTCGAGTGAAGGCGGCGGGCCGGGTTGGTTGGACGCTTTTCTACCAAAAGGGTTGTAAAGTTGTAACCAAACTCGTCAAAGGACACCAACCCATTTCCGGGTCCCGTTTTTTTGTTGTTGCGTGCGCTTTGATTCTGTCTGGGGGCGGAATCAACAACTCCCAACCTGAGGCAGTCGACGGAAAAGCTGAGCCAAAGGGCAGACAAGCTCAGTGATAAGAAGGCAACGCCCTGCAGCCCTCTCTTTCCGCGAGAACATAGGTAGCGTACATACTATATATCTCTCAATTTTTTCATATAATATACAGCCCCATGGTGCCAACCAACCTTTTCCTTTCGTTGCTGGGAAGTCAATCGCTACTGGTGGCATAGTTGTGGGAAAAGAGCCCCCAAATGTCCCACCTAAGCCTCGTGACTTCTACAGCTGCAGACCCCGGACCCTTCAATGGAAATCTCTGAGCCTTCAAAAGAGCCCTGTTTGAGAACCCAACACCAAGCAGCAGCATTTTGGTTCCAGCTTCCGACCTAAAGCGCCAAGCTCCTCGTTTCCACCCAAGACTGGCTGCCTCCAGTCGCATGCTAGGCGCAAAGCTAATCCCCCTGACGACCCGGGCGCAGTGTCGGTAATTAATCAAACAGGTTCAGCAGACTCTGGTGAAAATAAATATGTGCACATGCAAACCAACAATATGCTGTGTTTTTTGTGCCACAAATCGACGCAAGAAAACCCGAGGTTTAAAACAAGCAAGCCAAACGAATACGCAGTGGCCAGGTGTGCTTCTGACTCAAATAGTTGATGTGAAAGCCAGCCCATTCCCCAACGGTCATGTTGCCCAGATTAGGGGCCCTATCTTTGTTTGCCGCATTTCCTGCAGGTCCTGAAAAAAGGCTCTGCATTTTGATCAGCCTCTGAGGAAAATCGAGGGATCCCACTGTGGAGGAACCTATTCGCGTTCTTTTTTTTTGCCAGCACGCGCCCTTCGGAAGGCATTGGCACACGGGCATTCGCCTCAGCTGCTGAAAAGACGGCTCGAACAAGTGGCCCAAACTCACCGCTCGGCCCTGCAGCGCAACATGTGCAAATTTACACACGTTCGGGTGTTCTGTTCGATGATGCCCTTGTGAGGGGATGTGACACAACTTGGAATCCACCCATTTGAGGTACCCCATGCGCAGACAAACCCAAAACTACATGTACATATATATATATATATACATGCATGTCTGTGTATATACAAATATATCATACCGTATGCGTCTCGAAATGTGTAGTGCAACAGTTCGTTGTAATGTCTACCTCTAACTAGTAAACTACCCCCCCCCAAACAACTTCCCTCCCCAAATAGATCTCCCAACTTGATTACGAATTGCTAAGTATTGCTCACAGATTTGTTGTGTTTCAATTGATTTAGTATTGCTGGAGCCTCCTTTTGAGATTGGATTCGGGTTTCCAATTGGTTTCGTATTGGTGGATTTGAGTTGTTCAATTGATTTAGTATTGCTGAAGACTCCTTTTGAGATTTGACAGATTTGAGTTTCCAATTGGTTTATTCTTGCTGGAGCCTCCTTTTGATATTTGTCTTGAGGAATTTAAGTTTCAATTGGTTTAGTATTGCTGGAGCCTCCTTTTAAGACTTGATGTGAGTTTGAATTGAGCTTCCAAATGATTTAGTACTGCTGGTGACATCTTCTCTTCGCTTTTCTTGGCGGGGGGAGGGGGGGGGGCAACCAGGAATCTGTATTTAGGGGGGCCCCGTAAATCATGTATTGTTTAACCCCCAAGCACTACACCTCTTCTAGGGTTGACTGGGGGCCACTTTTTACACAAGAGTATGTAAAGAAGTTGCTGTTTGGGATCTGGTAGTGTTTGTAGATCTGAAATTTTCAGGCAGGCGAGGCAGATACTGACCAACCAGACCAGCTAGTGAAGAGGTTGAGATGATGCTGGCGGGTGTGTGTGTGTGTGTGGCTTGGTGTGTTTTTGCGAGTGTATGTGTATTCCCCGCAAACAAAAAAAAAAACAAAAACTTCAGTTGCGGTGGTGGTTATTAATCGGTGCCGACCAACAACGTAACTTTATTCCGGGGGGTTGCTTAATCATAGGTCGACAGTATTGTGAAATCATGGGCATGCTCCTAGCCTTTGACACAGACTTCTGCGCAAGGAGCTACAACGAGTGGTCGTGTCATTGCCAAAGCGAGCTACCTAGAACCCCCAGTTCACCCTCCAGTATTCCCTTGCAAATGTGTTTTTATCACATCCTGGAACACCCCTCCAGAAACAAACAGGTGCGGATCTGGTGGTTTCACAAACAACCCCGAATACGTTTCCAACTCACCAAGGAACCACGCTCGAATCCTTCGAAGCATAGTTGCTAGCCACCTCGCTGGCCTTTTCCGAGGCTTACTTGCAAGTCTCCCACGGAAAAGCGAAAAGCGAGCCCTTTGTTTGCGGATTCGGAAAAGCAAGCCACAGCAATTAGGTAAGCCAGTTTCCTCTTAGAGGGTGGCTCCCTTAGTTACTTACTGTAAAGGCAAATATGAGCTCACTGGGCGTTGCTTGTAATTAGTTTCTAGCCCTCCGAACGGTCGCAGGCAGAAATCGCCCTTTAAAGGGAGCTTCCTTAAAGAGGAGTTCTTCGCAACTAGGAGGTTCTGTCTTCTACAAAAGACAAACCTTAGTCACAGGGTCAGGCAAGTCAATTATGTTTGCTTCGCAACGCAAAGGGCAAATGCATGCTCAAACAGGGAATGCAGGTCATCTAGGTTTGAAGCAGTTGGTATTTTTGCTGCAGATCAGCTTGGGTGCATTATAGCTCTGATTATGGTCCTAATTTGGCAAACCTTAAAATGTCGAATGGCAACAAAGATCCCAGAAAAGGACACCCACCGCGTGGACAACTCCAGCCATACGCCGCCCTGCCGCCCTGCGCGCGCAACGGCTTTTCGACTTCAGCGGCAGAATTTCGGCACATCTCTCAGCCTAGGCCTTCTTGGCCTCCGTGCAAATCGCTGGGTGCAGCAGTGGAAACCCAGGAATCAGCGGACCCCTGGTGGAGTTTAATTGGGGGTGTCACACTTTAAGGGGGAGACAAAACTTGGAGGTCCTGGCTGTTAGATCTGAAGAAGGCAATCCAACTATTATCATCCATCTATCCGTCCGTTCGTCCATCACAGATTTGCAACAGGTTCTACGCTGATTCCACATACAAAAATGTCCCGAGTCCGCACGTATGCCAATATCAAGAGAAATTCAACATAGGCTATGATTGTTTGATAGCTTGGTTAAGTCTGACCATGTTTCACGGGGAACTCCCTTTCGAAGGAACGTGACGGGGAAACCAACGGAAGGCAACCGAAGGCCGAGCCTTCTTCTTCTGGAGCTCGGCCGCCTTGGCCTCCTTCTTCTCGTGGTTGTACTCGGCCAAACGCTTCTGGTACTCCGCCTGGGTACCAAATGCCCATGGCCCCTCCCCATGTCCCTTGAAACATCACTCCAAGAGGAGTTGGCGCCAAAAGGCGCAATGTGTAAAGCTACAAAATTGGGAAATCTTGGAAGTCTCTGGGTCTTGGGGGCGAAAATTATTTCCTAGAGTCTCGGAGGTTTCGCATGTTCTGGCATTACAACAAGGCGAAAAGGCATAAGACCACAAAGTTTTCCCTCCCTTCCCAACCAGAAAGGTGACAACAAATACCAAACCCTCCCCATGTTCCCTGTCTTCGGCTTTTGGAAACGACTCACTGAACCGAACCGAGCCGGCCTTGGCGGCCTTCCCAGCCTCCATGCGCCTTCGCACGAGGGCCTTGCGGCATGCGGGGTGGCCGCGCGGGCGAGTTCTAAGCAACACGGGTACATTCCAAAAAACATACATGGGTCTGGCGTTTTTCTGGGTGCCTTTTTGGGTGCTTCAAAGGGAAGCCAAAGGAAACAACACAGTTGCCGCGGTCCCCTATTTTGAGACACCCCACATGGAACCGGATAAAGGGTGGTCTTCCAGAAGGTCCCTGTCAGGTTCCATGTTTCTTTTGGGATTCCCGTGATCTGCGTTTGAAATCCCCCGCAAAGGGCAAACTTAAAAGACAGCCCACGTGGGTAAGAATTGCAGTTCGTTGGAGCCTGTGGAACTCCTTTATAGTACATGGGGAGTTATGCCCACCAACCATTCTTGAGGGTGTCAAACTAGAATCGCACAGCCATAGTATCATGTAATTAATTCTTCATAGTCAGAAATTCAGGGCCATAAACTCATAAGGAACACACTTTAGGATAGTGCGGAAGCAAAATAAGAACCACCATACAAAGGCGGATTCCTTGTACTTGCACAGTGGCCCTACTTGCCACAATATCTGGCAGTTGGGAACCTCCACTTGGTCGGTGCTTGAAGGGAAGCGTGCTATGGAAGCCGCCGAACAGCCATCTGTTTGGGACCTAAACCACCTTTCCCCACTGTAAAGCCCTGCATCCTTTCAAGAGGCTAAAGCGGATGCTGGAAATGATTGTGGCATGTGGAAAAAAACACAAAACACCGCCAAGTCAAAAACGCCAGCTCTTGCTGTAAAGACTACGTTGATTTTGAAAGAGCTGCGCATAAGTGAACCGACCAATTTTGAGCCACCTCTTGTCTGCCTGTCTTCCGGGCATACATCGCTTGGGAGATCAGGTCACAAAAGGCACAACACTGAAGAAACTGCAGGAATCTTGGCGGCCATCAAAAATTGCCAGATTCTGCTTTATATTTGGTCTACCCCGCGAATCAAAGATAGAGGAGACGCCAGGAATGTCATCGATCTGGAGTCGATCATGTGGATCTGCCCCGTAGTACTCAACAAGCGGCTACCCTCCCACCAACCAAAATGGAAGGGCACTCCCCTTTCCACCTGCAAATCCAAAAGGAAAGCAGTCTCCCAAAAACGGTGTGAGCACTAGGGGGTGTCGGATGTATGAGAAGCTGCGGAAAATTCTGGTTTAGGTTGCCACTTTCCGTGAGTGGCCAGGGGAATCCTCTTGGAAGTGATCAGGATGTGATCAGGTAGTCCCAGGGGTGGACGACTGGGTAGTACGGCGAGGGATATTTCCCCCGCCTTCAATATGTTGGGGCAACAGAACTACAATGGGAGCTGCCCTGATTTGGCCTCTCAACAAACATGTCAAACTGAAACCAGTGGAAGCCATGGTCACCCAAACTAAAGCCAGAAAGGACATGGCTGAAGTCACCTTGTGATCGAGTTCCTTGGTGACCCTGGCAATTCGGCACACCCTTTTTGGGGTCGATCATTTCGCTCCTCGCCTTGAAGTAGCGCTTCCTCTGCAGCAGCTGCGGGGTGATGAGCCGCTGGATCTTTGGCGCCTGCCCATCTCAACTCAGCATGTTGTACAGTGTTTGTTGCTGACGGAGTGGGTGCCCCACGACACTGCAGCCGTGAGTTCATAGTTGAGGGTAGCAACAGCAAGAGGACCAACCGCGCCGCGTCCAACGCAGCCGGAACCAACCCCGACAAATATCCCCAACTGCATAACCCATACGTATTTCCTGCTATGGCTGTTTATGGCTTTTTGATGGCCAACCAGCAGGTATGGCTTTCAAGTGAGCAAAGTGTTTCCCTTTGTGCCCCTGAAAACACCAGCCCAAGGACCCCACTCACGAGCGACGACCAAAGGACAAAGCTTAAAACCATCTGAAACGGGGAGGCAAATAGGCTCACTTGGATGATTTATCGCTGCATGGCTGGCAAACCCACGTTATTTCCTGGCATCCCCGAGTAGCCCGTTGCGGCGGACCCTGACGTTCATGGCTACGAACCACTTGGACAACTCCCAGACAATTCCAGCAGGGACCCCCTCTTGGTTGTACAAACAAAAAATGCGGGGGCTGGGTCAGCTCAATTGGGTCAGTTTTCTGCTGAGCAGAGACTCCATGTCTTCCTGGCTCATTCTTGCAGCTTCTCCATCTCTGGCTTACCCTTTGAAAGGCTGGTCTAAATGGACATCAACTGGAAACCCGCCATTTTGGGCATCTCCCCAAGTCGTGTCACATTGCCCTCTCCTCCCTCCCCACGTCTCCGGGTCTGCCATTTTGTGGACGTGGGACCCCTGGGGAAATGAAAGGCTACGTAACCTTTTGGAGCGTTCTTAAACAAGCAAAGAGGGAGCAACAAGTGCAAAGGTCGATTTGCTTTGGGCAAATGGGAAGGTCCAACTTTGTGGCCCTGCAGGATCATGCGCGGTTGTTTCCAAAATGAGGGAACCCTGCAAAATCTTGGCCCAACCCCGGTTTACACAAAACAAAACACATTCAAATTCTGTTCAATACTTAGTCAACCCCCAAAATACGAAATCATATTGAAGGAGACCCCAAAACGGGTCGGTGTCCCTTTGAAACAGTTCAGCAAGGGCACCAACATCCCGCCGTCAGTCCTTGGTCTTCTTGCCCTCCTTGATCACTCGGCGGACCACAAACTGCCTCACGTCGTCCTGGCGGGCACTAAGTCGCTCGAGCTAAATAGTGGCTTGAAGGCCTCAAAATTATCCTCTAGCCTCCAGAAGCTCGTTTAAAGGACAAACGCAACAAAAAAATAACCTTCAACATGTGTGGATTTGAAAGGGAGACCACTCCATCAAAACTACTGTGTGGATGCTGACTAAAGGGTGGTTCGAATCCGAAAAACACGATCGATTTTCGCGCTGAACGTGTCCACTTTGACGGACTTACAGGCGAGTGGGCTGCCGGCTGAAGCTGTGTCAAGTGTTGGTTGCGTACACATATATTATGCATGTGTATACATATATGTATATATCGTTTTGAATAACATGTAGGCCTATGCACACCTTGCGGTTGAATGGCTCTCCACGGCTTGCGCTAGTTCAGAGCCCTGCCCCTTATAAGGGTTAAAGTGGGCTGGTAACCAAGGAAACAGTATAAACAAGGGGTACCAGAAGTCTTAGATTGCGGATTCTGGGAAATTGTCTTCGGGTCTGGTCCTGAGCAAACATGAATATGAGGGCCTGGCAACTGGGACCCTATCCTGGTCGGATATGTTGTCTCAAAACCAGGGCTCGAATTTGAACCACAATTGCCCAGCGACCCTGCTATGAAAAGGGAGCCCGTTTCGGGCCACTGAAAACCTGGCTTGCACAGCTGGCTAAGCCCTGTCTCCCACAAAGGGAGAAGTTCTAAGTATCAGTCGGAGGTTAGATAGACCGACTTCCGTTTGTGGGAGCCAGGGCAACTCATTTTTCACTGGGCTCATGTGGACTCCCTCATGTAGACTCCCTGGATTCTCCATGGTTCATGAATCACCCCAAATCATCGGTACAATGCTCCCTTGCGATTTTCGGAGCCATGTGGACTCCAGCTCGTACTTCCCGAGTTCTTCGAACACCAAAAGCCGCCCCCCGCTCGAAAACTTCTCCGGAAACGACGCGAGAACGACCGAGCTCCTTCTTCTCCAGGCCGAAGAGCTTGCGGATCTTCGAGGCCTCGAGGCTGACATGAGCCACGGATGTTTATGGTGGCCCAGTGGATGGGAGGTGACCCCCAGTTCCAATTGGTAGTTTGGTGACTGTACCCAATGTTCAAGACAACAGTGGATGACAGTGCATAGTAGTTTATATGATGAACCCAAGTTTAGGCATCAACCTGGTCTTAACTAAGGCCTTCTTTTAACATCCCCTTCTGGTTTCACTTTAGTTAGAATCAACAACGTGTGTGGCCCTTCTGAGTTCCTGCTGGGAGTTTGATTCATAAGAATAAGGACCATGACTAATTTGTACCCCGATTTCCGGACAATCATGGACGTGTACATGTGTGCGCTCTTCAAGAGAATTCAAACCACGCCCCTCACATGAACCACCGGCAATATTTTGCGTTGCTCACGAGACGAGACAATTGGATTGGCCACCGACATGTTCTCCCCAAGCTAGCACCAGACTACCAATATCTGTCCAACGCTTGATTTGGTATCAAACACTCGGTCTTTTGCAGCCGGCCCCAACCAAAAAACAAAAACGAAGCAACTAAAAACAAAACAGCATGCCAATAACACTGAAGGTATGTGGTGTGCTCAAATGGCTGTGGCTCAAAAATGCGTACCCAAAATGGAACCCTGATAAATGGAACCAAAGACTAGAACCTGCGATCCCCTGGTGGGTTTATTTTAACCCATACCCAAATCTTCTCGGCTTGAACTTCTGGGCAACGCCGTAGAGCTTTCGACGATACTCAATGTGTCGCCCGATGACATTGGAGTTTGGCAAGCGCTCCACCCCCCCCCCCCCCCGCGACTTTCTTTTGGTCAGTTGGTGAGTAGCTTATAGATGACGGCGACGACCGGTCAACACATGCGGTTCCCAAAAAAGGACAACATTAAATCAGTAAGCCCCATTTGTGTTTCTCTGGAAAACAACAAACACCCACCCTTTTCTGGTGTCCTGTTGGTAAACTAACAAATCATGGGCAATGGAGCACCCAGAACAAATATTCAAGAGGGATCCCAAATACTGGCCCCCCTCAGAAGAAAATGGAGTTGTGGGGGACTTTCACGCCAATTTTAAGTCATGATCACATTCAACTCATACCCCAGGTATGTGCATTGCTTGGACTTGGTGCCGCCTTCGACTCTGGGCTGCCGGGCTCGCTTGGGGCCCAAGCGCCGAGGCTTCTGGTCGTCCTCAGCTCTCGTTTTGAGCGGAGTGCTGGGTGTGGCTTAAGCCCGAGCGCCGGGTGGGGCTTAGTATGTTAAAAGGGAAACCAAAAGGACACCAAACATTTTAGGGGCCATGAATTTGACAAACCCCATCTGGAAAATGTGGTTCTCTTATTGGTTTCCGTTTAAACCACCCCAACAATCGCAAAATACAAACAGATTCTGACAGCTCCAAGTCCAGCCTTAGGCCTGCAATGTTTGTCTCCCTCCTGAGAACTTGCTTGGTGCACTACGGCGGCCCACGCCTTTTCAACGCCACACATCCCTGCAGCCGCCAGGTGAGCTTTCTAGAGCCTCACTCAAATGATGGCGGCGTGCCGCCTGTGCATCCTGACAGAGCGCCAGCTGCCAAAGCCATGGTTCACTTGGAGAGATTGGAGCTGGCTCGGGGTGGGGAACCTGATGGCGGGCCAAAAATGCTTCCATCAAAGAGCCCTCCTCCAGATCGCGAGCTGGAAAACAAACCTTCGCCATAAATGCTCGCGGATGGGCGGCCTCGCTGACAGTCTTGACAAACCTCCTTCATTGTCAAAGCCTCGACTGGGCGCCGCGCCTGGCAAACAGCGCATTGGCTACAGCCGTCTTCGGGCTTGGTCTCGCTGGCTGGCTCTCCTCGCGTCCAGCGTCCAGTTTGCAGCTACTTGAACCCACGGCCTAGAGTGGAAAGCAACTCCAAGAGAATCAGAAGGGAAGCCGAGATCCTGCTTTCAGTTTTTGCTCCACAAGCTCTCGACCTCCATCTCGGTGCCAAAGAGTGCTGTCAAGCCGAAAGTCTTGCCAACAAGCAAGATCCCCCATATGAGCTCGATCTTTGCAAGTCTGCATAAAGTGCTCCTTGATGCGGGCCACTTCAGGCTCTGCCAGTCGTTCTGTTTCACTGTCATAGGTGCCCAAAGCCTCTGCTGATGCCTGGCAAAGCTCCTTGAAGAAAGACATGGCCCACAATGCGTTTAGCTGCCGGGCTGAGCCACAATGCGAATCTGCTTGCAACCATAACCAGTGACCCGAAGGGTACATACAGAATTGGAACCCCTTTCAATCCCTGTTTGTGGTTGATCATTCTCCGCCAAGCAACGGAAAAGGATGGAAAAGGGGTGAAAGCGAGGCGAAGCCAAAAGAACACCATTTTGCACGGGCCCCGAATTTGAGACAACACCATACAGTATGGAGTGTCTTCTTCTGGAGAACCCCCTTACCACAAGGAAGAACAACAAAATGGGTGTGTTTCCGAAATTGGAGACAAACCAAGATTACGACCCGTTACGACCCCACCCCAACTTGCTTTCGGGGTCTCAAAGTTTTTAGCTCTTGGGCTCACACCTGCGATTTGGGGGCAGCGGGGCCAAATGTATTCCGAGAGATTGCAAGTTGTTCCCCCCTGGAGATTCCCCTTGAGATGCCACAGGTAGGCCCCGATGGGCAAGGGAATCTGCCAATCCTCTAGATGTGCTTGACATCTCTTCCGAACCTTACCTCACTCGCCCAAGCCAGAAAACAAGAAGTGAGCCTTTTGGTTTGCCATGACTGCAGGCAGAGCCAAAGTTGGTTCAAGCTATAAAGACGGCTGCGAAACGACAACGAATGTGTTCAGCCCCTCAATGGATGGTAGCCACGCACTCGCCCAAAGGAACAAAAGCCAAAACCTTCAAGTGAGCAGCGACCAAAACCTCTTTGCCCTCCCAAAAGCATGAAACCTGAAAAGGAAATCCTGGGGGCTTCCATCTTCCTCTGACAGGGACCCTGGGGTTCTTCCTTGTCTGACATTTGCTTCTACCAAGCTCAAAACCGACTCAACTTTGGGTTGCACCAAAGCGGTGAGAAAGCCTTGTTCTGGGCCATGCAGAAATTAGAACCCTTAACTGTGGCTGAGAGGGTTTGTGGACGCTCAACAATCAAAGGCCGGCAGGGAGTATGAGTACGTATATCCAAAACCCCTGGTGCAAAACATGGCTAAGCATATCTAGACTTCATCCCAGGCGCCGTGAGGCCCGGGATGTCGGCCTCCCCCTTCTTGGTCATCACCTGGCAGGCTCAGAATGAACCTTCCAACTGGTGGCTTCCTTTAAGAGGTATTGGAGTGTGTCTCCCCCTGTTTGTTTTAACAGCAAATCACAGGGCCTGTCTTTTTGAGCAGGTCTACAGAAAATTGGGCAAACCTCCAAGAACTGGAGAGGTGCACCGTACTCATCCCCAGCCAGCAAGAAAATACGCGGCGCGGGAGACCAGGTGGACCACGGCCAGATCCGGGCCCACGATGCAGCCTGGCTCCGGTGGTTCTCGTGGGGCTTGGGAATGAAGCGCTTTGGGTTTTCAAAGGTACCATGACAACAAGATCTTACACGCCCAGTGGGAAACCGGTGCAAGGAGTGTTTGCCATGAACTCAGAAGGGATGTGACCAGTTGGATGGTTCAGTTGGCGGGTGATTCTAACTCATTGCCTGCGGAGAACTAGCAAGTTGAACCAAAAACAACGGAGTTGACACGACAAATCCCAAAGACAAGTGGCGAGGTAGCTTGCTCAGTCGAGTGGCCAACATGTTGCCAACCTCAAGGAAGCGTGAAGTTGAAGCCAAAGAAAAAACATGACATCAACGAACTGCCTTAGACCAGTGAAAGCTAAAGGGGCAGCTACATCCGACGTTCCGGGCCAGGTTTGTGCTTCGACACGCGACCTCTACTTGGGCACGTCCAAGCATTGGGAGCTAACTTTGACCGTGGACGAATAAACTCCAATCCTCCACTTTCGAGGGACCACCATAGTATTCAACCAGGGGTTTATAGTTTATTGACCCGGGGTCAGCATTGCAACCAGGACGACCCAATGACTATCTGCGTTGCCGTCTTGAACTGCTCCGCTACTTTGACATGTTGGACAGTACTTGGGTTTTAAGGGAAACGCTGGACACCAAGCCCGGTTGTGCACGCACCTCCAGAATTTGTCCTAAGCCACCTCCCCATTTGAGGGCCCGAATCCTCCATTTCTTGTGGATTAGGAGGGGCGAGCACAACCCAACCGGGCAGCCTCAAGGCAAAGCCCAAGCGCCTGCCTCGCACAGACTTGCGCTTACGCATGCCCTTGCGGCGCTCACGGTAGCAGGACATGCCCTGGCTCGCATTGAAGGCGCGAAACGCTCGCTTCAAATGCGTGCATTTCCTAACCCACTGCGAAGTAGTTTTGGGGGTGGCAAAAACCATCTAGGAATGGTTGGGTACCCTGTGCAGGTTGGATTTATTCAAAGGGAGAGCGAAAACGGGTGATGTTCAAAGTCTGCAAACTGGGGAACAGAAGGAGCCGTGTCTTGTACATAGCTCAAACTATCAGGAGGCGAGTGCTGATGCCCATGCTATATCCTCTTCTCAAAGGGGAGTCATATCCGCTATACAACTGTTATAAATGCGCTTGTAACAAGGGAGCCACGGCGAACAAGGGGTATGCATTGCCACAGGTCCTGCTTTCGGACAAGCCACCACAGCATCCAGGAGCTTTGCTTAACAACTTCATGAAATTGTGGCTTCTGCTGGATGCTACGAATCCGCAATTCGCCCATTTGCTGACCCAGCCCGGTCCAGTTGTTAGATGTCCTTTTAAATATATATATATATATATATATATTTATTTTAAAAAAGAGTAGATGGCACTAGTAGGTTGCAACCAAACCAACGGAACTCTACGATCAGCCAAGCTGGCCAAAAAGTCCACCTACATCCGGGCAGTAATCCCCAAGCACAGGCCTTAACTCGCTTACATGATGGGAGCCCAGGTGCAACTCCCCTCGAAGCAAAGGATCCTTGCACCTGGGCAAACTGCAAAACTGAGCTCTGTGTTTGTCAAAACAACGCCACAAATGGTGGGTTTGCTTTCGGTGTCCCAATAAACAACAACCTGAAGAGAGTACCCTCCAAAACGCCCACACGCCCACACACACACACACATCGCTCGCTGTGTTTTTTACCCGGTGAAACTTGCCACCTCGGCCGATTTGCCGCGAAAGGCCCCTTCGTGCCTTCTTGAAGAGCAACCGAACCCGGTGGTTGCACAGCACGCCCTGCTTCATGGGGAAGCCCTGGCACTTCCCAAAGGTGAAGTTGAAGGAAGGCAGAAAGGGCGACGGGTGTTAAATCGGGAGCCTGGACACATAGTAACATTACCCATTCCCTGGGTGCACAAATGACACAATGCCCCAGTCTCTTTTGGATTTCTTTTGGACAACGAAAACAAACGTGGACTATTTAGAATCTATGACCAACATGCGGGTTTGGGTAAAAAACAAACGTACACAAGCTGTAAATTGTAGCAAAGGCCTTGGGCGATCACTCATTGTCTCTAGGTCACAACTAAGCTACCATACTGCAACATTCAATTTACGGTGGCGTCTGGTTGCTTTACTCGCTGCGGTCCATTTGTGTGTGTGTGTGTTTGTGTGTGTGTGTGTCAAATTTCAGACAAATTGTGGGTCGTGGTGGGAACAAATCAACATATGAAACCAGCCACCTGGGCCTACATCGTGGTGACCATATGCTACCCCGGAGCAAATGGGCAGGAGGTATATCTTTCTCCTCTGCCAGCCCGCTGTCCTGCTTGTCATTGCCGCCGCCAATGCGGAAAACGTAGCCCTGCCAAGCGAGCGATGCCAGCGGGAGCCATGCCAGCCCCGGTGCAGGCTGCTGCCCGAAAGGGATGCTTCAAGGGAAGGAATCCACGTATACGTCCTAAGTCTGTGGGCTTCAAATCACGTCCTGAGTGGATTGGCCCAACAAACCTCCTGTTTTGTTTGCTGCTGAAATGGTTTTCCCAAAAGTATAAAATCCATGAAGTCAGGGAGTGAGTCAATAGACTGCTTCGGCATCTCGAATGGAATTGCTCACACATGTCGACATGTCCCCTATGGATTCCGAGGGACGACAGCAAATGGTGTGCAAGATCCCTGCATCTGAGCACAGGCCAAAGCAATTTGCTCCCTCCAATGGCTCAAACATGATTTACTCTGTATATAAAGCATGTGTGTGTAGGTGTCCATTTGGCAGAATCCGTGGTCTGGTTGCCCAAGTTGCCTTCTGCACAGCGTGCACTAACTTGTTGAGTGGCCTCTCAAATGGGCTGGAAGATCAACATGTTCAGCATGCAATCGGCCCTAAAGTTGTTCGCCCGAAAAAGTATAAAGTCCAGGAAATTCAGGGAGTGAAGCCCACCCCAAACTGGGGGGTGCCTGGATGCTTCCTCAATCACAACCAATTCCTTCCCCCTGAGGCAGGTTTCCTTTTACAGTACCAGGTACACTAACCGGATGAATTTTCCAGCTGCAGCTTTCCGTGCTAAACAGCGCGTCTGGAAAGGCAAAAAGCCACATCCTCGGCGGCTGGTTGCTCTGATTCCTGAAACCATCCGTCGGGCTCGTACCCCCCAGCTTAGAGCACCCCACTAGCACTTCCCCGCTTTCCCTAGCCTTGAACTCCTCACCCAGGGAGTCCCCAGCCACCTGCCACGAGGGAGCCAAAACCTTCGAGGTCGTTGGGGGTCAAAAAGCCCTATAAATTTAGGGTCTTGGGATCCTAGGGACCGGAAGTTCTCGCTCTTTCTGATGCCCTTCGTGACAGGCAAGCCACTTAAAGGAAGATAACCAGGATGGATTTTACCTGCTGGTGTTATGGTGGTGTCCCCTGGTTGCGCAAGTGGGCTCAATTGGGAGTGGAACCTATCACGTTTCAATGCAAGAAATGGGTGTCATAATTTGAGCTGTTAGTTCTAATGGAATCGTGAAATCAAATGCAAATCAAAACCCGGAACTTGCGGTTTAACTTGTCCAGATTTATCCCTTCCTGGATTTGCCGCAAAACAGTGAGCCCCCCAAAAGGCCGGTTTTCCTTTTAGTTTCCCTTTAAAGCTCACGCAGAAAGGGTATCATCAAAAAGACACGCAGACACGCCATATTGCAAGTTCATGGGTACATATATCGTGGGTCGGAACCTCGTCTGAATCCCTCAAGAGCAATGACTGCTATCTGGGCCCCTCAGCTCCATATAGTCCAAGGCCACCAAGGGACAATGGATTGCCACGTTGCCACACATGAAAGCCCAGGGGATGAAATCATCGCAGCTGCAATTCAGGGGGTCAAAATTGCGGAGACATCTGTTCAGGTACATTCTGCAGGTTGCTACTCAGGGTGACAAAGGGTGAAAGAAGCTTAAGCACAGATGCTAGCTAAATGTCCTCCTCCACTTTCTGGCATGCAGGGAATCAAATCCATTTGCTGTCTTCCACGTGAAACTCAAAATGACTCGTGCATTTTGGCTCAGCTCGCTTGAACCCAAAGCACGGGAAGTGAGCCTGACAACTGAGCTCCAAAAAGCGCTAAGCCGTGGAGGCTTCTCCACATTGTATAGACTGCAGGCTAGGGTACCTAATGAGACTGCGATGTGTCCTTACTTTCTTCTTTTCCTTCTTCTTCTTCTTCTTTGGTGGGGACAAACAGCTCTTGATTGGCGCCTTTGGTCCGAGTGTAGTTCGTGTTACCCACAAAGCCAAGTCGTGTTTTGACCATCTAAAAGACATGGAATGCGTCAAACTAGAGGCACTCCCAACCTGAGTGCACTGTTCAAGCAAGCCACAACATCTGCGTCTGTCGGTTTCGGCAAGCCGCCGGTTCTGACGGGTCTCTAGAAATTGGGGACCAAGGTACTGGTTGAAGCACAACCAAGCCGGGAACCCTCAAAGCACAAACGAGTACCCAAATATCCAGAAGAATCAGAAAGCGAAGCGTCAGACTGTGCCGAAAGCGAAGCGTCAGACTGTGCCTAGCCTTCACCTACCAAATCGGGCTTTGATTGTTGAACCTTCTCATTTCCGCGGAGTTGTTCGGGGGGATCCTGGCTTGCCAACTCCAAACCTGGTTTGTTGGCCTGCATTTGAGGTTTTGGTGTCTGGGCCGAAATCAAGCATCGCTCTTGCTTGAGCCTCTTGAGCCATGCGCTTGTCGAAGAGAGGGTACAGCATCTTGTCGTCATCGATCTCGATCTTCCTCAAGTCACAGAAAGTGAATTTTGGGCATGTCCAAATAGGGGGGCCCAATGGTCGCTTTCCTATTCGATTCTCTTAAGCCAACGTGAATTCCAAATATCACACGCACGGCGATTTGGGGGAAACCGTGGTACCTGGGAGACTTGTTGGTTCAGGGGAAACTGGGGACACCACCCAAGGGACATATAAGGACCCAGAAAGGAAACCTGTAGCTGTTAAATTTCGATGAACCCCCTCAAAGGTGGTTGGCTGCAGAGTGAGAGGTTAATTCAGCCCTTAAAAAAGAAGCAAAGTTCCAAGAGTTTAAAAAGGGACCTAAGCGGGTTGATTTGATTCACTAGGGAAAAACAAACATTCTGTAAGAACATGGAACAACAACATCGGGATCTCGGAACAATGGGGATCCCCTTCTTGGCTCAGAAAATCCCCATCCAGCTGGCTACGCTCATCCCTTTCATGCCATGCCGCTTCTGCATGCCCGTGGTCGGGTTCGCCAAATTGATCTTCATGGCCTTGAGCAACGGGGCCGCGGAGGGAAAGGGGCAAACTCAGGTTCCAGTGTGGGACTACCCAATTTGGTACACTCAAACCAAGGGGTTCCCCTTTTGGGGATCAAGAAATGGAACCCTGCTCCAAGTGAGTGCGTTTTTTGCGTTGGGTGAGGTTGCGCGTGAACACCTGGCTGGGATGCTATGAACACACCCCGAAAACCACAATCCCGTCATATCATAGAGAACACCATCAAAAACAAGCAAGCTCTTGAGCTCCCAAGAACCCCCATGGAACTTGAACAGGCCCACACCAAAGTTGCTCTTTCAGGTTCCACGTTTGCGTTTGGGAGGGGGAGCTCGAAAAGCAAGGCCGCTCTAATGCACGTACGGGTCATGCTTTAGGAGCCCAGAGAGGGGGCTCTCAAATTTTCAAAAAGGGATGGGCCTTTTGGGGTTGCAAGCAATCCGCCGACAACAAGGTGTTGGACGCAAGAAATGCTCCTTACTTGCCCCTCCCCTAAGTCCTTCTGGAGGCACGGATCGGTTTTTTTCTTTGGGGGGGGGGAGGGGTAAAAGGACCCACCACCCAGTGATTCCAAGAGACGCCCCCATTATTTTGCGCACTGGGTGTTCGAAAGTCCCGGGCCACTCGCTGTCCCAAATCGGTTTTGCATCCTCAAGCAAAGAGGATCCTATGAAAGGCTTCTGTCCATGTCCTGTGTGGACAATCCAAAGTGACTGAGGACATTGCCACCAAAACTTTGGCAAACTGGAGAAAACACGGGGATTAGGGAAAACGTTGGAAGCCATGGAGCAAACTTTAGGAAAGTCCGCCGACCCCTTCTCCTCAAAGGGGAGGCGCACGGGAAGGGTGGTTGCAGTACAAGCGCATGGATTAATCCTTGAGGCAAGCATATGACTACTGGCATCATACGGATGCCCATCATCATCATCATCATCGATATGATCCTTCATCATTCTTATCGTCAACATCATCATCATCATTTCTTTATCCTTCAACATCATCATCTCTTATTAGCCGGCACTGGTGATGCCGAGGATGTCATCATCATCTCTTATTAGGCAGCACTGGTGATGCAAAGGGTGTTATGATGATAGTTGTCATCATAATCATCATCATGATCATCCTTATTATGATGTCATCGCTCTTCTCATCATCATCATGATGATCATCATCATCTCATTCTTATTCTTATTCTTATATGCATTTCAAAAGTAACGTTAGGCCCCATTGGCAATGCAGAGGATGCTACGATGATAGTTATCATCACAGTCCTCATCCTTATCATCACTATCATCATGGTCATCATCATCTCTTGTTAGCCGGCACTGATGATGCCGAGGATGCTACGATGATAGTTTATCATCACAGTCCTCATCCTTGTCATCAGTATCATCAGGGTCATCACCATCTCTTATTAGGCAGCACTGGTGATGCAAAGGGTGTTACGATGATAGTTATCATCATAATCATCATCATGATCATCCTTATTATGATGTCATCGCTCTTCTCATCATCATCATGATGATCATCATCATCTCATTCTTGTTCTTATTCTTATATGCATTTCAAAAGTAACGTTAGACCCCATTGGCAATGCAGAGGATGCTACGACGATACTTATCATCACAGTCCTCATCCTCATCATCACGATCATCATGGTTATCATCATCTCTTATTAGCCGGCACTGGTGATGCCGAGGATGTCAACGCCACATTTGAAATATGAAGAAAAAAAAATATTATTATTTGTTTACTCAGGCTGGTTAAAAGTGTGTGTTTGTCATCAGAGTTTTATATGGTTTCATTGAGGGATTTGCTCAAGCTGGAGCCAAGAGATGTCATGCCTAACGCCACGATTGAAATGTATATAGAAGAAAGATAGAAGAAACAGATGATGATGATGATGACACTCATGATGACGATGATGCAGGCGATGACTATGATGACAATCATCATGAAGATGATAAGGATGATGACTCTTATGACAACTATCATCGTAGCATCCTCTGCATTACCAAAGCTGCGGATGACTGTCATGATAACTATCATCGTAGCATCCTCTGCATTACCAAGGATGCATTTCAAATGTATATAGACCCTGAGCATCGGCTATTGATTCTGATCAATGAAAAACAACGTTTTTTATTGATATTGATTTGGATTGTTTTAATTGATTTTTTCAATTAGAAGCTGCACTGCCAAGACTTTTACCTTCTATTGATATTTTTGGCTGATTTCGATGTATTTCCTATTGATTCACACTTTGCGTTTTCTATTGATTCCAACTTCCAGTTTGCAGGTCGTGAGCTAGCGCAATAACATATATATATATATTCACATTCATTCCGCGGCTGTGAGACTTTGGCTCCAGCTATGAAAGGTTGCCTCTCCACAGACGCTGGTCCATTGCAGTCAGCCCTTGACAAAAGGGCGCCTCTTCCACAGACTCTGGTCCGTTGCCGTCAGCCCTTGACAAAAGGGCGCCATGGCCTTAGTAGCAGGCAAAGGCGGGGCCCGGCATTTCTCAAAGCCAAGGGTGGACGCTGACATCTTGTTCAAGATCTTGTCCAACCACAGCGATCTGCTGTCTGACCTTGGCCCGTACGAAAACGTGAGCAGGACTCAAGCCTGCAACCCAAATGGCTTGGTGCATGTGCTGGGGCTGGTCAGGGCTCTGGTGCAAGCTGAAAAGAGCTGCGAGATACATCAGAGCAATCTGAGAGCAGCGCTGACCAGAGCCTACCAGCAAAACCCTGCTGTAAACAGGACGAAATTCAACGGAGGGGTTTGGGTGGGAATGAAAGTCGAACGGCTGGGCGTGATCCTTTGTCACATGAGAAGGCTGAAAAACGCAGAAACAGACCTCAGGACTTGCGCAGCCAGGCTCACAAGCGCTGAGCTCATTCAGCTGCAAGATGTGCTCGGCCTTATTGACAAAAAGTCAGCTTGCCCTCCAGCCTTGGACACCGCCGACAAAACCCTTGCCGAAAGGGATTCCCAGGCCAAAAGGCTTAAGAAAGAAGTGAGCGATGTGTCAGTTGACGCCGAAGGGTTCCCCAAGTGCTGGCTGACGCCTAAGGAAAAAAAATCCGTCGACACGGGCAGCCCCTTGTCAAAAGGGGAAGAGGAGCCCTGCGCAGCTCATCCCTTGGAAGATGCGGAAGAGGAGCCCTGCGCAGCTCATCCCTTGGCAAAAGCGGAAGCTGCAATGGCGCAGCCTCTCAAAGAGCCTTCCTTTTTAAGGAAAAGGCTGGGGTCGAAAGCTCACGCAAAACCTGCTGCCCCTCCACCTGGCACTGATCTGAAAATTCGCATGGGCTTTGTGTCGAAGAAGCCTGCAGCCCTTGCCAAAAGGGCCAAAAAGCGACCAAGCGCCCAGCAAGATGTCACCGCAGCAAGTGAGCCCAGCAGTGGTGCGAGGCTGCCTTGGCTCAAGCTCAAAAAGGTAAATGCTACGAAGCCAGAGAGACAATACGTTACAGGCACAAAGGAGCCAGGAAGCAAGAAATTGAAATTAGTGGTGGAAGTCACCAAGAAGCGGTCTAGCAAATTTGCTCAACACATTGACACCATCATGAGCAAAATGCGAACAAACCACTTGACAAAAGAGGAAGCGTTGCAGCTTAAGGAGGACCTGTGCCAGCAGGACTGAGCTGGCTTGAGCCCCTTGAGAAAAGGGGGCACCAAGGGCCAAAGCCCTGCAGCCCCCGTCAAAAGAGTAGCCCTTACCCATCACCTCTTGCCAAAAGGGGGGGGCATCATCCCTTACCCAAAAGGGCCGCTTCGCCCCTTGCCAAAAGGGGGCATCATCCCTTACCCAAAAGGGCCGCCTCACCTCTTGCCCGAAAGGGCCGCCTCACCCCTTGCCAAAAGGGGGCATCATCCCTTACCCGAAAGGGCCGCCTCACTCCTTGCCAAAAGGGAGCATCACCCTTGCCGAAAGGGCCTTGGGCGTGTCTCGCCTGGACACATCCCTTGCCAAAAGGGGGCCTCGTCCCTTGCCGAAAGTGCGAATCATGTCTCACCTAGACATACGGCCGAAAACATAAAGTGAAAAGGCTTAAGGCTGCTACAGCAAATCTATGCCCCCTACCACACGAAGTGCTTTCTAATGCACACCCCCAAACAAAAACAGCACGGGGTCTGACGTTTTGCTTGCTTACACGCTTGCCCTTGTCCCATGCCTGGCGCGCACGTGCATGCATGACCGCAGCTGTTTTCTTGCTCAAGCCCGACCGCTAGCTAAGCCCCTCGTCAAAAGAGGGCCCAATTCGCAACACCTTGCCAAAAGGTGAGAATACCTTGGCAAAAGGTAAGCGCGGAAGCTCTTGCCAAAAGGGCAAAGCCCTTGCTAAAAGGGCATGGCTGACTGGTCAAAGTGGGATGGAAGATATGAGGAAAAGAATAATAAGAACCGGCCTGCAGGGGTTGGGACGGTCAGCCAGTCAAGACGGGAGAGGATGAGGCGGAAGGCTTTGGCAAGAGAAGCCAAAGCCAAAGAGGAGGAGGAGGCCAGCAAGCAGCAGCCGGCTGACTCGGCCTGGGGCAAAGCGCCTGCAGCCGCAGGCTCAGGCCTTGAGCTCGGGCCGAGCGATGCGCAGAAAGTGAAAGAAGAAACCCCTTGCCAAAAGGGGAAAGGCGCTGAAGAGCCTGCAGCGGGCGGCACTCCTTGTCAAAGGAGGTCGCCGAAAGTTGCGCAGACTTTGGGGGCACAAGCAGCTCTTCCTCCAGCTCCTCCCCACTGCGGGAGCAGAAGAAGCAAAAGCTGGAGGAGGACAAGAAGGAGAAGCAGAACCCCTTGCCAAAAGGGGAAGGCCAGCAAGACCCCTTGCCAAAAGGGGAAGGCCAGCAAGACCCCCTGCCAAAAGGTGAAGGCCAGCAAGGCCCCTTGCCAAAAGGGGGAGGCCAATGGGTGCTCAAGGCCGAGAGCCGCTGGCGGGTCATGGTGGACTGGCACCAGACCCTGGAATTGCCTGGGGGCCAAGTCCCCCAGGCG